CTCTCTTAGGTTCAATTCAGTGTCTGAGGTCACTTCAAAGCATTTTTGAAACACTGCTTTGGTGTACAGTTTTTTGAAATTTGAAATGACCTGCTGGTCCATGGGCTGGAGGAGAGGAGTGGTATTAGGAGGCAAAAACTTCACTTTTATGAAGCTCAACTCCCCCGCAATTTGCTCTGGCAAGTCGGAAGGATGAGCAGGAGCATTGTCTAATACCAGGAGGCACTTGAGGTCCAATTTATTTTCCAGGAGGTAATTTTTCACAGTGAAACCAAACTCATGATAGAACCAATCATAGAAAATGTCCCTAGTGACCCATGCCTTACTGTTTGCCTTGCACATCACACACAAATTAGCCTTGACGACACTGTTTTTCTTGAACACTGGGATTTTCAGAGTGATACATGAGTAGAGGCTTCACTTTGCAATCTCCACTAGCACTACTACAAAACATTAGAGTTGGCCTGTCTTTCATAGGCTTGTGTCCTGGCAGTGTTTTTTCCTCCTGTGTAATGTAGGTCCTGTTTGGCATTATCCCCAAAAGGCCGTTTCGTACAAACACTTGTTGGGTTTTAATTTTCAGTGTCTATTACCCCTTTTCCGCACATTTTTTTCACCCTTTTTTTGGTCCAACGGGAAAAGCCTCACATGCCTTACCAAAAAGTGATGCCATACAATTCTTAAATCTCTAAAACCAACCTTTTGGGGCCTTTAAATTTTCACAAAACTCACCACTAGTTGCAGGCATTTTTTAATTAAATTGTTAGCAACTGCCTTCCTTTTCACATTTTTTGACTGAAATTGTTTTTCGTTTATCCACCCAACAACAGTCTCTCCACACTTCGGTATTTGGATCTCGTTTTTGAAAACAACTTCTCCTTTTCGCAACAACGCTTTTTTGTTCCCTTTCTTTTGGCCCAAGATACAGCGATGGTTGACGGGGGTTTGTTATACAACCGGGCCCAAACTCGGAGGCACAACTCCACTTTCATGCTTTGTGATTATCTCTTTCAATTTTCCCATAGTAATTCTCACCCTTTTTACCACAGGGTTGGCACTAAAGCTTTTTTGGGGGCCCAAAGGGGGCTTATTTAGCAGTTAAAAGCACTAAAAACCTAAAATAATACAAAAGTACCCCGGGTACATTGGAACCTCTGCATGGTTGTAAATAACCCACATAGCTGAAGGAGGGCAGCGACCCCCGGCGGGATGAACTGGCAACGCGTTTGGGGGCAAATTGTTCTTCCCCGAGTTTTTTAGCAAAAAACATCTTGCCCGATTTTATCTTTAGTCGATGCCATCGTTGGTTAGGATCCACTGTATATTTATAAATAAATTTACAGTGGCCCCTCAATTATCGTCCTTAATCCGTTCCCCTGGAAGTGGGATATTATCGAATGGACGACTTTAAATCTTTTTCCCCAAAAAAAAAAAATAATGAAAAATGCAATTAATCCTTTCCCGACACCCAGAATATTAAAAAAAAAATTTTTTTACATGAAATAAGATGTAGTACATAAACAATACGTGGTCATGATGAATTAAACTTAAAAAAAACCTTGCCTTTATTGGCTTCTTCTTTTTTGTATGGAAACTGGAGAAAGGGGACAGATTGGATTATTTACTGTTTTGGGAAGGGGGTCCCCTTTCCAAACAACACCTCGGGTTCAATTGCTTTTTGGGGGTTTCTTTCTTCTTGTTTTTATGCCACTAGGGCCACCTTTAGAAACACTGGAGTCCTGTCTCGCAAAAAAAAATGTCCAAGACCTGTTTCTGGCGTCTCTTTAAAACTTCCCCAAAAAGGGCCAAGACCTGTTACTGTACAAGTTTCCGATTGGCTTGCAAAATCTTTTCTGGGGCGTGTTTTTCCCTTAAAACTTTCCATCCTACCCCCCATTTCAAAAATTCTTAAATTTTTGAAAAGGCACCTTCCATTCTCTTTCCCCCTCCTCTGCCAAGATTCTGAGCTGCGATCTTTGCTCTTCTGCTGAAGCTTTGCGCTCCTCAGTGGTTTTGTCTTCGTTGTGGTCCCCCCACCAAAACTTCCCCTTCCTCCAAACTCACATCCCAACCCCCTGGAACTCCCCAGTGCGACAATAGGTTTCCAACTGACTAGGCTCATCATGGGCTGCCTCAAACCCTTCAAAACCCTCTTGTGGACACAATCGGGCCCCAATTTTCTCCAAACAGAGTTCAAAGTCCTGGTAGTCACTCCCCCCCAAAACCCTTTCCATAAGGTTAGGCAGTGGAGAAAACGAAGTGTTCTTTTAAAAAAAACTCGTAGGGTCAAAGGGGTGTCTGAGGTCACATTAAGCACCTTTCAAAAATTTCTTTGGTGTAGAGATTTTTAAAGTTTTAAATGACTTGCTGGTCCGGGCTGGAGGAGGGGAAAGTGGTATTCGGGGGCAAAAACTTTACTGTGATGAACCCAAACTCCTTCAGAATTAGGTCACCCAAAGTTTGGAGGATGAGCATGTGCATTGTCCATTACTAGGAGGCACTTGAGATCCAATTTCTTTTCCAGGAGGTAATTCTTCACACTGGGGGCCAAACACTTCATTGAACCCTCGAGAAAATGTCCCTTGTGACCCATACCTTACTATTAGATCCCAAAACACACACAATTTACTCTTCAAAACATTGTTTTCTTGTAAAACTCTGGGATTTTCAGAATAGTACACTAGTAAGGGCCCTTCACTTTGAAATCCCCATAGCATTAGCACAGAACATTAGCGTCAGCCTGTCTTTCATAGGCTTGTGTCCTGGCAGTGCCTTTTCTTCCTGAGTAATGTAGGTCCTCTTTGGCATTTTCTTCCAAAGAGGCCTGTTTCATCACAATTAAAACACTTGTTCGGGTTTCAGTCCTTCACTGTTTAATGTACTCCTTGAATTCATGCACATTTTTTCAGCCGCTTTGTTGTCAGAACTGGCAGCCTCACCATGCCTTACCACACTGTTATGCCAGTACGCTTCTTAAATCTCTCAAACCAGCCTTTGCTGGCCTTAAATTCACTCACATCACTAGTTGCAGGCAATTTCTTTACCAAATCGTCATGCAACTGCCTAGCCTTTTCACAAATAAGCGACGTCATAAGACTATCTCCTGCTAATTGTTTCTCATTTATCCACACAATAATAACTTCTCAACATCTTCGAGTACTGGTGATCTCATTTTTGTCAGCATATTTACCCCCTTTGCAACAACAGCTTCCTTGATTTCCTTTTTCTTGGCCACGATGGAAGATATGGTAGTACGGGATTTGTTATACATCCTGGCCAGTTCGCCCACACGTACGCCACTATCATATTGTTCAATGATGTTTTTCTTAAATTCAATCGTATTTCTCACCTTCTTTACCAAAGGCTTGGCACTAGGAGCTTTCTTTGGAGCCATGGTAGCTTATTTAGCACTTGCAAGCATTAAAATGAATGGAATACAGTGGACCCCCGGTTTACGATATTATTTCATTCTAGAAGTATGTTCAGGTGCCAGTACTGAACGAATTTGTTCCCATAAGGAATATTGTGAATTAGATTAGTTCATTTCAGACCCCCAAACATACATATGCAAACACACTTACATAAATACACTTACATAATTGGTCGCATTGGGAGGTGATCGTAAAGCGGGGGTCCACTGTATTATGAAATATTTCGTATGAACAAGTGAGGGGACCGTCGCTCACTGGTAAACAATGGCACACTGGCTGGGAAGGGAGGGTGAGGCGGCTCAGAGCATGAGTAAGCATCCTGGACAAAGGACGATTAGCGAGTCAACCGACCATTTGCGAGCCGATGTTTGGACGAAAATAATGAGACAATTTCCGAAAAGGACGACTATCGAGCCGGACGATTATTGAGGGACCACTGTATTTACTAATGTACAGTATAAGACCTACAACACTTCAAAAATACTGTATGTTCATTTATTAATACTTCTTATACACTAAGAATGGCAACCTTAGACCAAAGAATGTTTTAACATTTTTTGGCTTAAATGTAGTATGCAGTACAGTATCTAGGTGACCTCAGTATATTTTTTAGGTAATTAATCGACCTCAGATATTAACGAGGATGATTTTTTTCTTATGTTGTTCATATTTTTACATACTGTACTGTAATTATTAATTTGTAATTTAATTTTTATTTTGTAGCTACACACTATATTAACTTGTGCATTGCATTTCGTATAAAGGAAAATTTTGCTTTTTCTGCATATTATTCTAAACAATTATGGGCAAAGCAGTTAGTCATACATTAAAATTTATCTCATGTGATTTGTACAATATTAGCTATGAAAATTTATGTTAAAGAAAAGTTTTCTGAAGTGTCTACCTGTGCTAATTTGAGGGCAGAGCTCCAGCATAATATCAAATAGTGCTTACATAAATTGTAACTGTGATGATTAGTGACTGATCAAAGCTTGCATGATATTTCTTGTCTGTGAAAAGGATTTTGCTGAAAAAATATACTGTGCACAAACATTAATGGGTACTTTAATGTAATTTGTACTGCTGTATTGGTTCCATGTGTTCAAGTTGAGAGATGCAGGATTCTATTTTAATATATTTTGTTAGGTTTTTAAGAGACTGTCACCTTAATCTGTACTAGTTTGAAAGTTGATGTTGTGATATTTTGCAAGGTAAGCCTGTACTTTGAGGTAGGAGGGGCTTTGTGTAACGTAATAAAGTTAAATTTATAATTTATTCATAGTTAACATTTCAATGGAAAGATGCCATTGGAGTTGTGTATTCATATACAGTATTATTAACACCTGTTTATTTATTAATTTCTTGACTCGGCCATTATACAGTAACATGCATTTAAATGAAGCTGGTCTAAATGTTATACAAAATTTCAAATGTCTTTCTTTACATTATAATTTTGTTTATATCCCAAGTATTAAAATGTATTTATGCTTAGTGAAGTGGACTTCGCAAAGCTATAGGAGTGTAGTACAAGGCTGATGCTACCATTTTGTAATTCTTTCTCTTCTCTAGCTCCATGGCTACACCAAGAGCAGGCATTACTCTGTAAGTTAGTGACTGGCTGTGAGGTGTGTTATTTTGGCATTTGCCTGATGCTTGTGTTGCTTTGGATAAACTTGCAATGCTGTGACTTCATCTGAGCTGGTGATCTTTCTGCTTTATTGAGTTGTTTGTGTGTGGAGACTTCATGAATGAAATGCAGATTGGTTGCTTTTAATTTGTTCATAGGTGCTTGAAGACGTAATGGTTGCTAACAACCAATTGTATTCCCTGCTCACATCAAATGACACTGAGAATGAAAAAAAGATTATGCATTTTCATCCAGTAACTGTATTAAGCTTTAAATGCAATTATCAGCTTTATTTACCTTTATTCCTTTAATTTTGAGATAGGTAGGTCAATTAACAACCTTAGGGAAAAAGTATTATTGTGTATTTCAGATGCATTTCTTTTTCATTCTAGCTGTATATGCTGAGACGGTTAGTTAAGCAGCAATAGTTAAGCAGCAACATGACATCAACTGGAATGAGTGCACGGTGCCGTTTATCATTAATCCTGCTGTCATATTTTGGCTGTGTACATGTAATCCATTTTCTCCTTGTGCTGTATGACCCCAAGGGGTTTAGCACTTCTCTCTTATAAAATTAATAATAATGTTCTGGAAGGGGGTGGGATAGTGGCAGACCTACATTTTTGGGGCCCTGAAGCTTGAACTGTTATGGGGGCCCCTTTGCAACTAGCAATGGCTACCCTACGTTTATACTTTAATAATGTTTTAATTTTTATTTTAACTATTTTTTTTGTATTGAATTACATTGTATTATTATTTTTTGAAAACCCCTTCTCATACAGTAGACCCAAAATTAAGCTTGAGCTTCATTAGTTTCATAGTAGATCTGCCCCTGGGGTGGGGAATAAATTAGTTGATGCTGGTTTAGGGCCGAGTGCTAAATTTCTTTGGCACTCTTTCTTCCATGGCAAATATATAAACTTCAAGTATGTATTTTGTGAAGTTGACAAGTATCATGGAATTTTAATATTAAATAACACCATTAAAGGAGGTTTGCATGATTAGCCCCATTTTCTCTATCATGAATTTTACACATTAATAAAAAAATAAAATTTGTATAAAATTTACTTACTATAGCATACTATATGTATATAAAGGACAGTGGAACCTCGGTTTTCGTGATTAATCCGTTCTAAAAAGTCTGACAAAAGCCGAATCGTATGATAACTGAAGCAATATTTCCCATAAGAAATAATGTAAATCCAATTAATCCATTCCAGACACCCAAAGATATTAGCAAAAAATACATTTTATAGAGAATAACTATAGTTTTACAAACAGAAAACAGTGAGAAATAAATATAAATGTCTAATGAAATGGGTAAATGAACATTTAACATCACTTTTACCTATATTGAAGACTCTTGTTGGCATATGGAAGACAGCAAGGAGGGGAGAGGGAGGAGGAGAGGTTATTATTTGGAAGGGGAATCCCCTTCCATAAGGACTTCAGGTATCAAGGCCCTATCTGGGGTTACTTCCTTTCTTTGTCTTTTACTGGCACTAGGACCAGCTTGAGAGTCACTGTACCCCTGTCACCCAAAAAAATCTGTCCAGAGAGGTCTGTTTCTGGCATCTCTAGGATTTGCCTAAAATGGGACAAGGTATTGTCATTGAACATGTTGCAGACATGGCTTGCAACAGCTTTGTTAGGGTGATAGGCAAGATTGGCCATGCGCGCCCCACTTTCTTACTTTGCTTACTCTGCTACGAGTTCTTTCTTGAATTCTATTGTGTTTCTTGCCTTCTTTATTGAAGGGCTGGCACTCGGAACTTTCTTTGGCCCCATGGTGGCTTATTTAGCAGTCGCACGCTATAAACAAGCACAAAAAAAAAGGATTACAGTGGAACCTCAAATATCAAACTTTCTTCGTTCCAGATGGCTGTTCGAGTGCCGTTACCGAATGAATTTATTCCCATCAGGAATAATGTAAGATAGATTAGTTCATTTCAGACCCTCAAAAATGCACTTATAAAAACACTTAAAAAATACACTTACATAATTGGTTGAGTTGGGAGCAGTTCGATATTTGAGGTTCCACTGTACGTATTACGAAATGTTTCGGATGAACGCACGGGGTGATACTCAATGAGAAACAAAGGCAGACTGAGTCATGAACACATGGGATGCTTTGTGTGGGTGCTTGAGTAGCTGAATCACGCAGACGCATTTGGTACGGACCATTTTCAACTCTACGAAAACCTAACGAATGTATGAAAACAGGGACAAAATTTCGACGAAAAAGGTTGTTGAAAACCGAATCCCACGAAAACTGGGGCATACGAAAATCGAGGTTCCACTGTATATAAAATGCAAATAACTTTAACAACACAAATTTCAATACTTCATGGGTGTCCCTGGCTTTATATAGTTGCTGTTCCACTACATAAAGCTAGGGCCCATGACAACTGTACTAAGCTTAGTCAGACCATCAATACTAAATTCTGTATAAGAATCTTTAGTACATTTTGCAAATTACATTGATTTCATATAGCAAGTGTATACTGCACATACAGAATACTGAGGGGAGTAATGAATTTGCATAAAGGGATCTCAAGTATGCATATCCATTTATATTGAGACTTTCATAATGGTGAGTTTCCCTCCTGTAGGAGATGTCCTCAATGCAAAATTTCGTCACTTATTTGAGCCAGCTGAAAGCAGCTTTGAAAGTAGCACTTGACACTTGCTGACTGGATGCTACATGGTGGTTTGGACATTTTTCACTTTAACAAGGATGAAGAATATACAGTACTTGTGATACGGGCTGCCACTGATACCTTCTGCCTTAACTCAGAGAATTTTCCCTCCTACCTGTTGCTGTCTTGCAACATTGCATAGCTTCTGGCGACGCACAAGAGTGCGAAGGCTCTTGAGCCAAATATTTCCATCCCCATGTGGCTTCTTCTGCATACAGTACCTTGTTTAAAGGTTTAGAATTAAATCAAACATCCAAAGAATGGAAACAAGAAGGCAAGAGGTAGAAAAGGGTGGAAAGGCAAAAGGAAAAAAAAGTTGAGAAGATGATAGCTATTTAGAGGATATGGGGCTGTGAGAAAACATAGGCGAGCATTAAGTGACAGTGTTTCATGAATTAAGCCTTTAATTTCCCAGCAGCTGAGCTATAAGTACGTTGGAAAAAATTTCACATGTTTTGTTCAGCAAGTTCTTTATGTCATATAAAGAAAAGGTGTTCATATACAGCCTCTCCTCACTGAGCTACATACTCATTTACCAATGACTTTGACTTAGGACGGGCTCTGACCAGTATGCATACCTAAATAATGTTGTATATTAGAGCTGATTTCCTGTATTCTATTTATTACAATATACAGTACACTGCTGTATAAACATTTAGAAATATTCCAGATATGTTATAAATGGTGCAAAGGTGACATTAAAACATTATCAAAGATGGTTGACACAAACTCTCTGCCATTATAGTATGTTCTTCACTTAGCAACGAATTTGTTTACCGACATGGTCTTAGGAATGGAACTCCGTCGTTAAATGAGGAGAGGCTGTATTTTACCTTTTTCATTTGTACTAGTTTATATACTTTACAATCCTGAAAGAGAAAAACTTCAGAAAAAATTGTAAACAGTATGGTTAATAAAGCTCATTTTCTTCCAAGCTTGGGATTTGAAGAATTTATATGGTATATGTTGCTGTAAGAGAATGATTACAGTAGTATTGTGATTTGAAAACTAACGTATCTGATAAGAGGGATCTGTCACAGTTGCTGTTGACATAATGCTATTGAAAGATTAAGTAAAACTCCTGCAGAGGTTAGTAAAGGAGTTGGGATGAGTGTGCAGAAGAAAGTTAAAGTTAATATGGTATAAAAATCAAGAAATGTGATTAGAATTAAGTATAGTACCTGGAGAGGGATTCGGGGGATCAACACCCCCGCGGCCCGGTCTGTGACTGGGCTGTGGTACAACCAGAATACTGTATAAATTTTCAGTACAGTATTATACTCTAAATTCACACTTATTTTCTGAATGGTCCGAATTTTTTTCTGAAGGTTTTCTTGTGAATAACTAAAATTTGTGCATTTTTACTGTACTTTACTTGTTTTGTTTTGACTTGAAGCTCAATCTCTTATTTAAAAAGCAACCAAAGGATTTTGTTAAATACGTATCTTCTCTCTGGAATTTCCATACCCAAGTCTTTTGTTTATGGATATTTTTTCTTATAAATATAATTATCATTAAGGCAGGGGCAAAATTTAAAGAGTGCCTCTGAAATACAATTAATCATAAGGACACTCTTTAGTGGTACAGTAAAATACCTGCATTTTGAAAGTTGACTGTGACCTTTGCTGAAGAGGCAGGTAGAAAGTGATGGTTAACATGTTCTCTGCTTATGAAAACATTGCAGGCATTGTGAACAAAAAGACACAATACCCTGACTGGAACAATACATGTATATCTCTCTCGCCTGCATTCCAGCGAGTACAAGTCAAGTGCTTTCAGGCGTTCCTAGTGTAGTTGAGGTGTTTGATAGAACGTATATGTGCAGTTAAGGTTCTCTGTACACTCTCTATATCTTCAATTTCACCTGCTTTGAATGGAGATGTTAATGTACAGCAATATTCCAACCTAGAGAGAACAAGTGATTTGAAAAGGATTATCATTGGCTTGGCATCTCTTGTTCTGAACATTCTCATTATCCAACCTAGCATTGTCTTTGCAGCTGTGATCATGGCACTGTTGTGATCCTTGAAAGTGAGATCCTCAGACATTACCACTCCCAGGTCTATCACATTATTTTTCTGCTCTATTGTATGATCAGAGTTTGTAGTATACTCAGTTCTAGTTATCTCCCCCAGTTTTCCAAAACGGAGTAGTTGGAATTTGTTTTCATTGAACATCATATTGTTTTCCATTGCCTATTGGAAAACTTGGTTTATATCTTTTTGGAGGTTAACTGTGTCCTCAGTAGATGACAGTCTCATGCAGATCCTATTGAGCATAAAATGTTTGAATACTTATTATTTGAACACTCATACATTAGAAGTACTGTATATGTTTAAACATTGTGCTTGATGTTTATTGATATTTATGGCATAATGTGTAGTGAAACCTCATTATTGGACTAATAGGGGAGGGGGAGGGGGTGTACGATAGTGCCAATTGTCCACAACTCCCAGATTTTGAAATTAATATTTCATGATTGTCTGGTTGTCTTCTGTGGTGGACTTTGTCCACTGATGCAGAAGACAAACAAGCACTAAAAATATGGGTATTGTAACCTGTAGTACTTACTACATTACAGTACAGTTCTGTACTGTACAGTAATTTTATAGCACACTACATAATTTGCAGTAATTTTACTTACCTCTTCGTGGTGGAGAGATGAGATGCAAACTGCCATGATCAGTACTGGAGAGGAGCTGTAAAGCTCCACTACCAGACGCACATTGTAGTTAGTAAACTTGACCTGATTCTTCCAAAGACAACCAGACAAAAATGCGAAATTTTGGACTTTTGTCTATTTTATCTGATAATTAGAACATTTGCTGGGCAATTTTTTTTTTCTGAAATTGGTGAAATTCATTAATGAGAGTATTTAGCTGTACATTTGTCATTGTTGTAGCAGCATTACTTGTCCTCAGAACATTCAAGACTGATATTTGATGCTCTCATTTACCACCGGTTTGCAAAATATAGTGTGTAATGAAATCTTTTTAGAATTAATTCATGAAAAAATGCATCTCAGTCATTGAAAACAACATAGACTGATATGAATGCATTGTATTAATTGCAAAATTTCCAAATGTATATTTAATGCTTTATATACAGTATACAGTATATAATAATTTTTTTTATTAACACATCATCTGTCTCCCACGAAGGTAGGATGGTCCAAATAAGAAAAACTTTCACTATCATTCACTCCATCACTGTCTTGCCAGAGGCATGCTTGCACTTCAGTTATAAAACTGCAGCATTAACACCCTCCTTCAGAATGCAGGCACTGTACTTCAGTATAATTATTTTATTTATTTATTAACACATCGGCCGTTTCCCGCCAAGGTAGGGTGGCCCGAAAAAGAAAAACTTTCATCATTAACTCCATCATATTTATAATAAATACGCAGCCAGTGTTTTAATTTTGTTGCAGAATGTTACCATTAATCAAGCCACATTAAGGTTTCTGCTGAGAACCACAGTGTTCTATACATGTACTGTATTCACAATGAGAAGACGTTACACATGAGTTTTGCTAATTTTTAGGCAGTAAGAAAACTGTAACCTATTCTAGTTTTACTTGTTTCAGTATATATCAGACACGTCTTGCAGATACATATGATAAACTTCATGCTAGATAATTACATAAATGTACAGTATGTAGTAAGGATAAACTAAACATCTAAACCCTCATAAAAAATATCTTAAAACACTCTATATGCATGTAAAATAAATTGTCATAAAAACTAAGTAGGTTTTAGTATACTGTACCTTGTACATATGGATTGATGAGAATAGATGGTGTTCTGGGACAGTCTTGCTCAGGTTCGGATGTTGAGTTTGCCCTTAATACTCAAAATGCTGTAGAACAGTATGAAAGAATTATCCTCCAATTCTCAGTGGTCATATAATGTGCCTGAAGTTGATGTGTTTGGTAGTGGTTGTACAATGTTAGTGTGCCAACGTAATCATTGAGTCCAGATAAAAAATTAGATGTTTTTTTTTTAAATAGTATTACAAGTTTTGTGTTAGAAAGTGAAAACCACAAATAAAGCCTTTGCAGGAACCTAGGTTTTGGTCTTGGTTGCTGCTATAGGATACTTTAACATGAGTTTAAAGGTTTATACATATTGGATGCAATATCAGTCAAGTGTTAGAAAATGTAGTGAGAAAATGTGTTAATACCTTGAGAAACCCTACCCCCCACACGTTGCAGATGAAATATGCAGGACGACTTGTCTTTCATTGGAGAATTCTTGAAGCATTGTCAGTTAATTGTCATTATAAATTTACTTAAGCAATTCTAAATTTCTTTTAAAGTTGTATGCATGGTGTATGGAATGCACAGTACAGTAAAACCTCAATTTAACAGACCCTGATTCACTGGATTTTGGATTTATTGGACAAAATTGGGGGCTGGACAATTTTCAGAAGCTTCAGAAGCAATGGACAAAGTCCATTAAATCTAAAATTATCTGTTGTTATTGCAGTCTGCTGGGCAAATTTATTTTTGTATTTAATGAACTTAGTCTGTTAAAATCAAAATTTTTACTTTACTGTTAGGATCATGAGAAATATTCTCTTAATCTGGATTTAATGGATAATCAGCTCTAATGGACGCCCCTCCTTCCACCTATTAGTCATTAGTTCGAGGGTTCACTGCACTGTCAATGTAAACATCTGCTTATATGTCGTACTGTATTTATATACTGTACAGTGTCTTCGACTTAAGTTCAGTTTGAGATCTGAACTTATTTTGTATAAATTATTGAATAACATCTTAGTGTGTTGTTGGTGTGGGCAGAACACATACCATAGCTAGTCAGTCTTTGAATTATTTCCTGCCACATTGTTTTAGGGATTTCATTGGGTAAATGTGGTGATTGCTTCTGAATAGCAGTCTGTAATGCATGTGTTATCTAATTATGCATGCAAGTTTGTGTTTGTAAATATTGTGCAAGAGAGAATGCATTGATATGTGTGCTTTGAAATGTTAAGTGCTTTCATTTCCCTATGACATAAATAGTGGTTTATTACTTCTATCCGAACCAAAATTGGTAATGAGACTGTAAAATTGAAAAGCTGGTAAAAGATGCTGTGGTAGATTGGAAACCTATATTGAGATAATATTTCATTTGGTGACCAAGTATTTTCATAACTTAAAAACTTGTGTAGGCTTGAAAACGCATGGTCGTCCAGTGAAATTTTGTCACAATAAAGGTTTTCATTCTCTCATAGTCTCTCTTTATCAAACTAAAATTGCAACATTGTTTTCTTAATATTTGCTTAAATAGCAGTGACCCATGTAAGTATTAAATTCACTTTTTATGAATGGAATTGAACCATTCTGTCTTAATGAAATGTGGCATGTCATTCCTCCTTAACACCTGTACTCTGTGTTTTGTCAACAGCCAACATGTTTGGGAGTGGTGGCTTGGGTGCATATGGGGCTGCTGCTGCTGCTGCTGGACTCCAGGGATGGGGAGGACTTCCCCCCGGCTTTCCACCGACGAGTACAGCTGCTGGCCTGGCCAGTTTGGCAGCTGCACAACAGGCGCAGCAAGCTGCTGCATTGGCTAGTCTTGGACCAGCAGCAGGTGTGTGTGGTTTTTTTTTTACATATATACAGTATATGTGACGTTAAGAGAAAGGTTTGTTTTTAATTTACTGATGTGCTTTTAAGTGTAAACCCATGCTTATTTACCAATCCAAGATTCCTGGAGGTCAAATCAGTCAGCATGGATAACACAGGCTTTATTGACTAAATTTTAAGCATCATATTATTCACAAAGTCATGTACCTGGACAGCAAGAACCTTGCATTCAGTTTTTCTCTGTATTCTTGATAATTCCCATACTCATCCAGAACTTTTGGAGGATGTACACTAAATGTGCCATCTTTAATACATCTGCTGGGCTGAGGAGTTATTGAGACATTGAAGTGCAACTACATGAAAAGTGATGTAGAAACTCGTTGGAGCAATGGATGTTGACTTGGCACATGGAATGACTGACTTTAGATGCAAATTTTACATCTCAGATGCCATCAGTTGTCAAAACTGCAAGGAATGAAGTGTCCCAATTCAATTTTAAAGCCAGGTCCAGAAAATAATGCATTGGGCAAGGAGATTGCCAAGTGAGGGTTTTAAAAATATGGAGTCATAAATTATGAATGATCTCTTAGAGGATGATGAGGAAGAAAGAAGTCCAGAGAAAATGTTGATGGAGCTCAGAGCCCAGGTACAAGGGAGGCAGATAACAAATGAGGATGAGAAAGACTAACCTGCAGAGAAATTGTTAACACTCCAACAGTTATGCAACCATTTCTATAATATTGGTAAATCTGCAGACCTTTTTAACTGAAGAGGACCTTGACACATCTAGGAGCAATACTTTAAGGCAGATTCTGGACCAGGCAATGATGCCCTACTAGCTGCTGCTTGTGCATATACAAGAAGCAGCAGGATTGCCTCTCTCTTTCTCTCTCTCCCATTTCCTCCCTTTCTCTAAACATATATGACAGTTTTTGACTAAATTTTGCAAAACAAATATGAGCCCACTTCACAAGAATAACATGAACAGATACAAACTCTTTCTTCTTTCAACAAATCACCCATATCCCACCTAGGCAGGGTGGCCCAAGAAGAAAAACGAAAGTTTTTCTTTTTAAATTTAGTAATATATACAGGAGAAGGGATTGCTAGCTCCTTGCTCCGGGTATTTTAGTTACCTCTTATGATATGCATGGCTTATGGAGGAAAAATTCTGTTCGATTTCCCCATGAAGATAAGTAAAAATAAACAAGAACAAGAACTAGTAAGAAAAGAGAAGAAAACCCAAAGGGGTGTGTATATATATGCTTGTAAATGCATGTATAGTATGACCTAAGAGAAAGTAGCAGTAGCAAGATGCACCTGAAGCCTTGCATGTATATGACACAAAAAAGACTCCAGCAATCCTACCATCATGCAAAACAATTACAGGTTTCTGTTTCACACTCACTTGGCATATTATGGTGCATATTATGAAAAATAATTATAAGTGGTACCTCAGGTTAGGAACTTGAACAATTGTGTAAGTGTACGTATTTATATAAGTGCTTTTGTAAGTGTATTTTTGGGGGTCTGAAACACACTTATGTAATTTACATTATTTCTTATGGGAAAAATTTGTTCGGTATCAGCACTTGAACAGCCTTCTAGAACAAAAAAAGTTTGTATCCCGAGGAACCACTGTAATTTAACATGAACAAAATCATTATTGCAACTACAGTTCTTGACCAATCTCAGCCAAACAACAACAACAAAAAAATGAGCCCTCTATGGAATTATAAGAGGCTGGGTCAGCAATGTTGTATTAAGTGTCTAGGGCATTGTCAAGGATGCACTAATCACATAAAGAACAAGAATTTATATTACATATAATGGATTACCAATAGAAATGTGGTCTTCTTTCAACAAACCAGCCATATCCCACCAAAGCAGGGTGACCCAAAAGGAAAAATGAAAGTTTCTCCTTTTAAATTTAGTAATATACATGTATACAGGAGAAGGGGTTATAAATGTGGTCATCACACAGAAAATTAAATTTGCATGTACCAAATCCACATAAAGGAAGAGGCACCATTCGCATCAGAGTGTTAAGCAAGGAATACCTAAATATTAATTTAGCATTCTGTGAATGTAGTTGTCTCTTGAAAAATGAGAGAAAAACTTTTGCATGGATATTTAACTTTGCCATGGCATAGTAGGGTGGTAGGCTGGTAGACAGCAACCGCCCAAGGAGGTACTACCATCCTGCCACGTGAGTGTAAAATGGAAGCCTGTATTTGTTTTACATGATGGTAGGATTGCTGGTGTCTTTTTTCTGTCTCATAAACATGCGAGATTTCAGGTACGTCTTGCTACTTCTACTTACACTTAGGTCACACTACACATGCATGTACACCTTTTGGGTTTTCTTCTATTTTCTTACTAGTTCTTGTTCTTGTTCTTGTTTATTTCTTCTTATCCCCATGGGGAAATGAAACAGAATTCTTTCTCTGTAGGCCATGCATGTTGTAGGAGGCAACTAAAATGCTGGGAGCAAGGGACTAGTAACTCCTTCTCCTGTATATATTGCTGAATTTAAAAGGAGAAATTTTTGTTTTTCTTTTGGGCCACCCCACCTCAGTGGGATATGCCCAGTTTGTTGAAAGAAAGAAAGATTTGACGTTGCCAAGTGTACCCACTAACACTCATTTTATCACACTGGTGCTAGTAATTATGTTCTGTAACATTGTTGTGTAATGAGCAAAATAAGATTAAATACTGTACTGGTACAAGCAAAAACCACTAGGTGGAAGGCACCATTTGCAGTCTGTCTCAACAAGACTAACTGGGGCAGCAGCTAGTTGCTGGGAGTTAAGGGATGAGACATATAAGGATCTCACATATAGAATGAATTCAAGGTTGGTTAATTTTGTACGTACAGTGGACCCCCGGTTTGTGATACATGTATTAATCCGTTCCTGAGAGCTCATCGCAAATCAAAATTATTGAAAAGCAAATCAATTTTCCCCATAAAAAATAATGGAAATCAAATTAATCTGTGCAAGACACCCAAAAGTATGAAAAAAAAATTTTTACCACATGAAATATTAAGTTTAATGCACACAAACTGAAGAAGACATGCACAGTTTGTAGTACTCTACTAACAATAGAATACATGACACTTACCTTTAATGAAGATCTGGTAATGATTGATGGGATGGGAGGAGGGGAGAGTGTCGAACTTATTGTTTAAAAGGGGAATCCCCTTCCATTAGGACTTGAGGTAGCAAGTCCTTTTCTGGGGTTACATCCCTTCTTCTTTTAATGCCACTAGGACCAGCTTGAGAGTCACTGGACCTCTGTCGCACAACAAATCTGTCCATAGAGCTTTGTACCTCCCGTTCCTTTACGATTTGTCTAAAATGCGCCACAACATTGCCATTGTAATAGTCACCAGCACAGCTTGCAATAGCTGTGTTAGGATGATTTTCATCCATAAAGGTTTGCAGTTCAACCCACTGTGCACACATTTCCTTAATTTTTGAAGTAGGCTCAATGGATTCCACAACTGGCATAGGCTTCTCAGGGTTAGCCCCAAACCCTTCAAAATCTTTCTTAATTTCCATACTAATTCTCACCCTTTTTACCACAGGGTTGGCACTAGAAGCTTTCTTGGGGCCCATGGTGACTTATTTTGCAGAAACAAGGACCAAAAACACTGTGATAATATGGAATGTACCGAATGTATCCTTAGATACGAGCACACTGGCTGGCTTGTAAACACTGGCACGCACGGGGCAGTTCAGGCCACACGTGGACACGTCTCAGACGAATCGCGTATAGTGGGTTTTTTAACGGGAACCGAGGCAAAATTTTTGCATTAATGTATCGAATACCAGATTTATCAGATACCGATGCCATCGCAAACTGGGGGTCAACTGTATTAATGTTGGTAGAATTACTGAGAATATGTTGGGTAAAAGGACACAAGTGCAGCAGGTGGCCTGGTGGCTAAAACTCTCGCTTCACACAGTGGGGGGGTCTTGGCTCGATTCCCAGCCAGGGTAGAAACATTGGGCATGTTTCTTTACACCTGTTGTCTATGTTCACCCCTCAGTAAGTGGGTACCTGGGTGTTAGTCGACTGGTGTGGGTCGCATCCTGGGAACTGACCTAATTTGCCTAAAATGCTCAGCATAACAAGGGGCTTTCTATATAGTAATACACCTACCATCCGACTTATGACCTGCTCGACATACGACCATTTGACTTACGACCTTGTTTTCTGTGCCAAATTTCTGGGAAATAAACAACTGTTTGTGTTGTACACAGTGTTTATCCTAAACCTTACAGTATAAAATACAGTACTAACAGCATAAAAAGTAAAGTAAAACATGAAATACCAAAATAAAACAATAAAATAGTCATTACAAAAATGTAATGTTGATATTCAGTAGTAAAGTTCAACTTACGTCCATTTCGACTTACGACCGGTTTCTCGGAACCGAACTCGGTCGTAAATCGGATGGTACCTGTATGTCAGTGATGTCAACTAGGCCTGTATACCATGTACATTTTTTTTTTTTTTCAACAAGTCGGCTGTCTCCCACCGAGGCAGGGTGACCCAAAAAGAAAGAAAATCCCCAAAAAGAAAATACTTTCATCATCATTCAACACTTTCACCTCACTCACACATAATCACTGTTTTTGCAGAGGTGCCCAGAATACAACAGCTTAAAAATATATACATATAAAAATACACAATATATCCCTCCAAACTGCCAATATCCCAAATCCCTCCTTTAAAGTGCAGGCATTGTACTTCCCATTTCCAGGACTCAAGTCCGGTTATATAAAATAACCGGTTTCCCTGAATCCCTTCACTAAATACCCTGCTCACACTCCAACAGATCGTCGGGTCCCAAATACCATTCGTCTCCATTCACTCCTATCTAACACGCTTACGCACGCTTGCTGGAAGTCCAAACCCCTCGCCCTCAACACCTCCTTTACCCCTTCCCTCCAACCTTTTTGAGGAAGACCCCTACCCCGCCTTCCTTCCCCTACAAATTTATACGCTCTCCATGTCATTCTACTTTGATCCATTCTCTCTAAATGACCAAACCACCTCAACAAACCCTCTTGAGCCCTCTGACTAATACTTTTATTAGCACCACACCTTCTCCTAATTTCCATACTCAGAATTTTCTGCATAATATTTACACCACACATTGCCCTTAAACAGGACATCTCACTGCCTCCAACCGCCTCCTCACTGCAGCATTTACAACCCAAGCCTCACACTCATATAAGAGTGTTGGTACTACTATACTTTCATACATTCCCTTCTTTGCCTCCATAGATAACGTGTTTTTTCTCCACATATACCTCAATGCACCACTCACCTTTTTTCCTTCATCAATTCTATGATTAACCTCATCCTTCATAAATCCATCCACTGACACGTCAGCTCCCAAATATCTGAAAACATTCACTTCTTCCATACTACTCCTCCCCAATTTGATATCCAATTTTTCTTCATCTAAATCATTTGATACCCTCATCACCTTACTCTTTTCTATGTTCACTTTCAGCTTTCTACCTTTACACACACTCCCAAATTCATCTACTGATCTTTGCAATTTTTCTGTAGAATCTCCCATAAGCACAGTATCATCAGCAAAAAGTAACTGTGCCACTTCCCATTTTGTATTTAATTCCCCATAATTTAATCCCACCCCTCTCCCGAACACCCTAGCATTTACTTCTTCTACAACCCCATCTATAAATATATTAAACAACCATGGTGACATTACACATCCCTGTCTAAGACCTACTTTTACCGGGGAGTAGTCTCCCTCTCTTCTACACACCCTAACCTGAGCCTCACTATCTTCATAAAAACTTTTTACAGCATTTAGTAACTTACTACCTATTCCATATACTACTTGCAACATCTGCCACATTGTTTCCCTATCCACTCTATCATATGCCTTTTCTAAATCCATAAATGCAATAAAAACTTCCTACCTTTATCTAAATACTGTTCACATATATGCTTCAATGTAAACACTTGATCTACACATCCCCTAACCACTCTAAAACCTTCTTGCTTATCCGCAATTCTACATTCTGTCTTACCTCTAATTCTTTCAATAATAACCCTACCGTACACTTTTCCTGGTATACTCAGTAAACTTATTCCTCTATAATTTTTACAATCTCTTTTGTCCCCCTTCCCTTTATATAAAGGGACTATACACGCTCTCCGCCAATCCCTAGGTACCTTCCCCTCTTTCATACATTTATTAAACAAAAATACCAACCACTCCAACACTATGTACCCCCCCTGCTTTTAACATTTCTGTCATGATCCCTTCAGTTCCAGCTGCTTTACCCCCTTTCATTGTATGTAATGCCTCACGCACCTCCCCCACACTCACATCCCGCCTTCCCTCCACTACAGATTTATACACTCGAAGTCATTCTGTTTTGTTCCATTCTCTCTACATGTCCGAACCACCTCAACAACCCCTCCTCAGCCCTCTGGATAATAGTTTTGGTAATCCCACACCTCCTAATTTCCATATTTAAATTTAATTATTGAAGATATTTTGCATTGGTCACACTACACATACATGTACAAGCATATATGTATATACACACCCCTCTGGATTTTCTGCTATTTTCTTTCTAGTTTTTGTTCTTGTTTATTTCCTCTTATATCCATGGGGAAGTGGAACAGAATTCTTCCTCCGTAAGCCATGCGTGTTGTAAGAGGCGACTAAAATGCCGGGAGCAAGGGGCTAGTAACCCCTTCTCCTGTATAAATTACTAAATTTGAAAAGAGAAACTTTTGTTTTTCTTTTTGGGCCACCCTGCTTCGGTGGGATACGGCCGGTTTGTTGAAAGATGATGATGATTTTGTATTGATCTGTATTTGTTTGCAAATAGGGTATCTTCTGTTTATTGCACTGAAACTTTTTATACATGCGTTCTTGCATATCCCCAGGCCTGAAAGTTGTGACTTTGGTTGTTTGGTAAAAGGTCAGTCAAGTTAACTGCTCAATCTATGACCCTTGACTTACTAGGAAAGTTTTTTTTATTAAATCGCTTGACTAGTCTATGGACAAGAGAGAGAGAGAGAGGGTTTGGTTTCAGTTCTGATAATGGTCATTTATAAAATTAAGAAAAAATTCTAATTCAGTGTTAACCCCTCCTTATGCTTCCAGATTTATTTAGACAGGTTATGATTATAGAGTAGGAATTTCTTTTATGCAAACCCATTGTGTCTGCATATGTGGTGGCTGTTAGAAATAAAAATGTGCATTATGGTTTATAGTGACTATCAGCAAAAGCAAGTTTTGTAAACTGCACCAAATTGTGGAAAAAAAAAATAGCAGCCTGTACTTCTGTAATAAATTGCATTCTAATAGCTTTCTGTATGTTTTAAGCTGCCTACCAGGATAGAGCAATGGGAGGTGAGAAGTAATTTTGCACTAGTATAAATCATTGGTTCTTAGTCATAAACTTAATCACCAGAGCAAGAGCATGCTCTGTGTAGCACTGTTAAAAAACACAAATAATTTTTCAGGGATAATTTCTTGTCCATTTTGTAACGTACAGTTTTGGCATGTTTTATTATTTCTGAAGAGGAAAAAAGGGTTGACTCTGGAAATGCAGAAATACATTAGGTCATCGATTATTTGGTGATTTATTACGTGCTTTCGAACATTATGCAGCAGTCTTGTTTGGTTTAGCACCTAAATTGATAATGTGAAAGAAGAATTTGGAAAACAGTGGACCATAGAAAATGATATGATCATCTGGTGTTGTTGAAAATCTGATGCACCTTATTTCCCCCAAATGGACTGGATAATTAATCGATGATTCACTGTGTCTTTCTGGTGTGTTACCCATTTTTTTTTCCTGTGTTGTGTGCCTAGGCATTGCTCTTCAATATTTTTTGCTTTATGAATCACACCCTATCACTGGCTTAATTGTTTTGTTCACTTTGCCCTTGCATTTTTTGTATGTTTAGGAATCTGTATTGTAAATGACAGTTGAGTACTGTGTACATAAGAGGGCTGTATCTAAGTGTATACATAAGAGGGCTGTACCTAAGTATACATAAGAGGGCTGTACCTGAATATACATAAGAGGGCTGTACCTAAGTATATATAAGAGGGCTGTACCTATGTGTACATAAGAGGGCTAAGAAGGTACAGGGGATCAAAAGTTTAAGATATAAAATCACAAACATTAAAGAATAGTGTGATGAATGTTTTGCAAGTGATTAAGTGGTTCACTGTTATTTACAGACTAGATGTAGCAAGAGTCGCATCATCAAACTTTGATAGTTAATTATCACATTTAAAGAGTAAACATTAGGAAAATTACATAATCATGTATAAATTTGTGATGATAAGCAAGAAGTTTTTAAGTCTTAGATAACTTAAGTTGATATGAAAAGCAAGGACAGAACTATGTACACTGTTAATTTTCTTAGCTTTGCACGTACAGAGTGATATCAGCAAAATTCATGAGAAACTGCCTAGGTTTTAACTGTTTATTCTCTTTTTTTTTTTATATTTTTGTGTGTGCTACAGTGTTGATGAAGGAGGGCTACAGGTTGCTAAGGTTGTGAGGCATCTTCTTGTTCATGTTAATGACTATATACACTAGTTATGTCAAACTCATGGGTCTGCCATCCTACTTAGTGATAGATTTGGGGGTCATGGCTCCATCCAAGACCATTAAATACAAATACTACTCTATTTTCATTATTTTTGTTTATAGCGGGGAGGGGAGGAAAGGGATGAGTACTGCGTGGGCTTTCTCCTTTTGTTTGGTTTTTTGTAGGTGAAAGGGAGAAGTACTTTATAAAGCTTCTTTTTTTGATGTAAGTTCATGGATGATAGAGTAATTAGCTTTGTCAAGACAACAAAAAAGACAGTCACCACCCTATTAACCCTTTCAGGGTCGAGAGGCCCTCTCCTAAACTTGTTCTCAGAGTTGAAAATTTTTCGAAAAAAAAAAAGGATTTTTTCTTATGAAATGATAGAGAATCTTTTCTCGATCATAATGATATCAAAAGTATGAAATTTGATGGAAAACTTACGGAATTATTCTCTCGCGAAGTTAGCGGTCTTGACAATGTTTATGCATCGGCGATTTCGCCCAATTTGAGCCCTATCTTCGGCCAATTCCAATGTACCAGTCGACAAAAATCATACCTATTTGCTAGAACTTAATTTTTTCTATCGAATGAGTAGAAGAAACCACCCATTTACCGATTTCAACTATCCAATAAAGTGGTCAGAAATTGGCAATTTTGCCAATTTCACACAAATTTCAAAAGATGCCAATTTCCCAATAGGGCCCAGAATAAACAAGACAGACATTCCTGGCACTAAAATAACACTTTCTCTGTTCATTAGTCACCTCCCCAGGCCCCTCTTACATTTCTTATGCTTTCCACTTTGAATTTTTATTCTCACAAAAAAAAAAAAAATAGAAGATTTACTGTTATGCAGACTACTGCATTAGTGTAGAAATGGTATAAATAATATCAGCGCACTTGTGAAAGAATATTAGACTCGCCAGTTGATGTGTATTGGATGCGTGGCATGATTTGTTTACTTTTGAGCTTTCGCAAAAATCAAACATTTCTGCTACTTTGAGCTCAATTTCAAAGTACTTTTCATTGTGAAACCAATCAAAATCATCTCAATTTCTGTCATGTCTTCCATTCGATAAAATGAGACCAGGAAAACTAGAAAACAACCATAAATACCATACGAAAATGCACTGCAGAGTCACTGTTTTAAACCAAAAAGACGGTCGGAGTTTTTTTTATTTCTCATGCACTGTATGCTGCAGGATTTTTTTATACTGTGCACACTGACCACATAGACCCATTCTTTCATATGTAGGCCTACCAGCTTTCTCTTGCTAGATTTGAAGTCGCTAGAATTTACGCGTACTAGTGTGGCACCAACCCTGGCGTGCAAGCCGTACTAGCATGACACCAACCCTGAAAGGGTTAAGATTTTAATGAGTAGTAGACTGTTTTGAGCATGTATCACTAAATCTTAATGACTGCCATATGGTTAATTGTAGTTTTTGTCCTCCTTGACTTTTTTAGGCCTTGAATTACTGTTTGTATTTTAACTTAGTAATCATTATGATTTTGACGTTATATGTACAGTACTTTGTTTTTGTTGACTTAGTGCCAAGGCATATATGCCTAATGGCCATCATCTGTTTTATTTACTGCATTATATTTTGTGTGCATCTTTGGCTTCTGTGCATGTAAGTTTGCATTTTGTTTTTTGTAGGAAGTTACTTGCTTGCATTAATGTTTGCATGTATGTACAATGATGTAGGATTATGAGTGTGTGTGCTTGCACATATGCCTAGTTTGTGTGTGTGTGTGTGTGTGTGTGTGTGTGTGTGTGTGTGTGTGTGTGTGTGTGTGTGCACGTGCGTGCGTGTGTGTATGCATGCACAGGATAGCGTTTGTGAGCATTCATTTATATGAAGGTACACAATGAGTGTTTGCTTTTGTAATAGATCTGAAGTGTGTGTTTTGTAAGAGGTGTAAAGTATGTGTTTTGTAATAGATCTGATGTGTGTGTTTTGTAAGAGGTGTAAAGTATGTGTTTTGTAAGAGATCTGAAGTGTGTGTTTTGTAAGAGGTGTAAATAGTAATGTGATTTGTTTTGTAAATTAAAATAGTTGAATAGATGTGTGTGTTTTGTAAGAGGTCTGAAGTATGTTTTTTGTAAGAGATCTAAAGTGTGTGTTTTGTAAAAGGTGCGAAGTGTGTGTCTCTTGTAAGAGGTCTGAAGTGTGTGTTGTGAGAGGTATGAAGTAAGAGGTCTGAAGTATGTGTTTTGGGTAAATACAAAAATGCTCTGTAACTGTTGCACTCTTACTGTGTGAGAGTCTGGAAGTTGTGTAGTAAAGATAATATGGGATGATGTTATTGAATACATACACAGTGCAGCATGATAATTTGCAAATATATTTTGTTGAATTGATAGCTCATCATGTCAACTTCATCCAGGTGTTTTTTTTTTGTTCATATTACTGTATTTAGATCTTTTCTTTGCTATCAGGATTGGGACTTCAACAGGGAATTAGCTGGTTTAGAAAAACACGTAAGCAAACACTATGACATATTTATTCGAAAACGTTTCAGTCCTGGGACCTTGATCACTTCAGAAGTGATCAAGGTCCCAGGACCGAAACATTTTCTAATAAATATGTCATAGTGTTTGCTTACGTGTCTTTCTGAACCAACTTGTCGGTATTTATTACCAAGGTTTATACCAGGGAATTAGCTGTATAGTATTATAAGAATTAGACATATGTGCAACTTCTGGGTATCTTTATTGTAGACATTTCATCATCTAGTGACTTTATCAATACAATTCAAGGACATTATGTGAAGACTGTAGAACTGTATACAAAAGATGAGGTAATCAGCCCCTGAGCCCTGAAGTTGGTTATGAGCACCGTAGTCTTGAAGACTATGGTGCTCATCACCAACTCCAGGACTGAGGGACTGATTACCTCGTTTTGCATATAGCTCTACAGTCTTCACATAATGTCCTTGAATTGTATTGATGAAGCTGCTGGATGGTGAAACATCTATAAATAAAGATACCCAGATGTTGCACACGTGTCTAATTTTTATAGTATAGTGTTGGTATTATATACCATTGATATACAACTGTATGTAAAGTATTCCCTGGGTGATGTAAGAGGTGGCTTGAAAGTAAGACAATTCTTAAGCTTCCTGATGTAATACTTTTGTTCTGCTCAGTTAATTAGGGAGTAAAATTGTTGGGCAGGGAGAGAAGAACTTTGGATTTTTTTTTCTCAGTAGGGAGTAGAACTGATAGGCAGAAAGAGAACAACTTTGGAATTTTTGTTCTGCTCAATTAAACAGGGATTAAAATTGATAGGTAGAGAGAGAATTTGGGAAAAAAATATTTGTTTCATTTTTTCTTTAACCTGAGACTTAATTGTAAATGATGATTGAATTTATTTTCTGTATTTTCTGTACATCAGTGCTGCTGTATATACTGCATTTAAGTGGAAATTGGTTGTAATTAGTAATAATACTGTTAGTCCATGTTAGTGATGGGATAGAACTAGGTGCCACAGAATTACTTTTTAACAAGTGAAATAAATGTTCTTGTAGATTCAAAAGCAATTTAAGTAGGGAATTACCAATTTCTGGCTTATGCCATTGTCTTGCTCTTCTTGTAGAATTATTGTTTTAGGTGATAAATTTTCACGGAATTGGTTGCTGAATCACATATTTTAGAGCAGCTCCTTTATTTTTGTAAGAGAAAAGTCAAAGCATTTGGTTTACTGAGTCAGTACTCTACTGGTTTTCTTATTAAAAAGTCTGACCTTTATGTAAATTAAAGTTTGTCAAGTCAAGCAGACTGAATTAATCAGACCATCCTGAGTAGTGTGACTACAGTAATACATTTTGTAGTGTTTAAAAATTTGTCTTTTGAGTACTGCATCACGGTTTATCCTGAAATAATGTGTCATTTTAAGATCAACATAACCGGTACAGCCAAAGTGGTTTGAGAAGTGGAGCTGCTGTGCAATCATATGAACGAAATTTCTCCGAGGCTACAGGTATGTTAAGCACAATCTGCATAAAATTTTAGTTTGTGGTGGCAGTCTGTTGTTGAGGCGAATATCGTAATGTAGAGGGTCACAGGATTATACGATATATCTTTAGTGGTTATTATAGATCAGTTGCTACAAGAAAGCCTAGAATATGATTGATCACTCCTCTGTCATTCATTTTATGAATTGGGACAAAGAGTTTCAATGATTAATTGACTTCATGGACATTTGGTATTGCTGCGTATGTTTGACTTCAAGTATTGATTTCAATTTGGTGTTGGCGGTGGGAAAAGGTAAAGAGTTGAAGGTATTTCTAGTAAAATTAACCTTCATACAGAAAATACTGGATATGTATGCATGTGTTGGGCTTGATTTGGATTTTCTTCTTCACACAGCTGCCTGGTGGAACATAGCTGGCCTGCAACAGATGGAATTGCTGTCCAGATTGCAGGGTGGCCTAGGAGGTAGCAGTGGGCAGGCTGGCGCAGCAGCTGCAGTTGCTGCGGCTGCAGGGGGTCTTGGGGGTTATGGGGGACTACATCCTGAACACCTCATGAATCTAGAGATCCTTCAAGCACAGCATGGTCAGTACCACAACCTCAGAAATTGATTGCTAAATTATTTAATTTTCACTACTGTATCATTTTAAGAGTTTTGTCTGTAATCATTGATTACCAATCTTTTGAAACTGTATACAGTGGACCCCCGCATACCGATATTATTTCAATCCAGAAGTCTGTTTGGGTGCCGTTATAGACCGAGTTTGTTCCCATAAGAAATATTGTGAATTAGATTAGTCCATTTCAGACCCCTAAAAATACACCTACAAAAGCACTTACAAAAATAAACTTACATAATTGGTCGAGTTGGGAGCTGATCGTTATCCGGGGGTCCACTGTATTTTTAAAATCGTTATTATTGTATTTTTAACTATTGAATCATATTTTTTACTAAAAGAAAAACAGTACATTACTGTATACAAAATTTAAACATCTGTATTATTTTATGAAGTACAAGTATTTTTTATAATACTAAAGGAAGGACAGTATTACACATTAACCCCTTGACTGTCGCAACCCCCAATCCTGAGGCGTCTCCTGGTGTCACAAAATTTAAAAAAAAAAAAACTTACGAAATGATAGAGAATCTTTTTCCGATTGTAATGACACCAAAAAATGAAATTTGATGGAAAACTGACAGAATTACACTCTGGCGAAGTTAGCGACCTCGGCGATATTTACAAATCAGCGATTTCGCCCACTTTGAGTCCTATTTTCGGCTAATTCCATTGTTCCAGTCGACCAAACTCATGTACAAGAAACTGCCCATTTACCGATTTCAACTACCCAATAACGTGGTCAGAAATTTGCAATTTGGCCAATTTCACAAAAATTAAAAAATATGACAGTGTCAAAAGAAGGTCCAGAATGAACAATGCAGACATTCCTGGCTCTAAAATAACATTTTCTTTGTTCATCAGTTATGTCTCCAGGCCCCTCTGATATTATTCTTGCTTTCTATTTTGAATTTTTATTCAAACAAAAATAGAAGATTTACTGTAATGCAGACTACTGCAATACTGTAATAATTGTACAAATAATGTCAACCCATTCATGACTGCATATTAGAATGGCTAGTTGGACATTTATTGGACAATGACATCATTTGTTTACTTTTGAACATTGGCAAAAATCAAACATTTCTCCTAGTTTGAGCTCCATTTCAAGGTTCTTTTTATAGTAAAACCAGTCAAAATCACCTCTATTTCTATAATATGTTTTCCATTCTATCAAATGAGACCAAGAAAACGAGAATACAACCTTAAATACTATACGAAAATAGACACAAAGTTGGCATTTTAATTAAAAAAAAATGGTCTTTTTTTTTTTTTTATCATGCACTGCATGTTCCAAGATTTTTTTTATATGGTGCACACTGACCACACAGACCCATTCTCTCACATGTGGGCCTACCAGCTTTCTCCTGCTTCATTTGAAGCCGCTAGAATTTATGAGTATATATACATCAAATACGGTACCTCGTAAGACGTATATATACGACGAAACTGTCAAAGGGTTAAAAATGTTTTATTATGGTAGATTGTAACTTTGAGTTTTGTGGTTTATTCCTTACATAGATGACCTTGAATTTTATAGTGCTTCTGGTTTTTATTTGGGAAATGCCTTGTTGATTTTATGCAAATTAATCAGACTCAAGTTTGTAAGAAAGATTTTTACATAGGAAGATTCAGGTTAAGTGTGATGTTCACAAAGACCAGTTACCTGATAAATAAATTGAAAAAGATAATTTTGATTTTTTCACTGGACATACAACTCATGAAGGGGAAGGTTATAAAGTTTTAATCACAGTAGATATTGTAGTGACAGATGATGTAGGTTCATAGGTGAAGAGCATAGTGCTTTTGAATGTGAATGGAATGAAGATAGAATGAAAGAGAATATAAAGTGTACAGTACTTTTTTGTGATCAGTATAGGTTAGGTTAAGTAAGGTTTGTCAGGAAAGAGGACAAATGTTTCCTGATGTGAGTCTTAGTCATATGATGACCCGCCATTGAAGCTTTTGGTCATCTGACCAAGGCCTTCTGCTGACTTATCCCTCCACCCCTTTAAAAATTATGGTTAGGACTCATTGTTCCTGGTTCACGCTATGTAAGATCAATATAGATAGATAGTGTATGTGTGTAATAGCATTGAATTATTGTCATACAGAAATTTTATTTTGGCAGTGGAACCCAAGGCATATGTAGGCTACATGATTACGGGAAGTAGTAATATATTAAGAATGAATGTTTGGATTTACAGTATTTGTAAAGTAGCCTCATTTGGAAACACACAGAAATTGTGTAGTGTACAGCATTGATTGATAAGGGAGCACAAAAACAAAGGTGGCAGTTGTGGCATAAATGTAAAAGAGTTAGAGCAGTATACATGTATATAGTACAGTATATTACATGGTTGCATTTAAGGTATTAGGATGATACAAATACAAATAAATTTAATCTTCAACTGGTTATTGGTTAAAGGAAAAGTACTGCACTGTACTATTTTTAAACATATACCCAGTACTATTTGGGATTATTTTACTTTCTCTGATTTGCCTACCACTCAGTTCAAGAAAGTACGTATTTAGCTTGGTTAGACTATGTCAGTTTACCTGTAATTTTAAAACCATTATTTGACAAGCTTAAATTATTTTTCTGAATCATTATTATACTCTTTGAATACAGTACTGCATTTTTATTAAGCCTGTTAAGTGAATTAAAAAATTATAATCTTATGAAATAACTATAAATTTGCTTCATATATATATCCTGGTGGTGGAGTCCAAATCAGTGGCTGTGCTTTTCTAGTGCAATGTATTTGTTTATGGCTCAGTGGGTCAGACTGGATGGCACTTGTCTAGCTGTCATGCCAAACAAAAGTTTGTGGTCTTGCATTCAAATCTGGGATTAGGATATTTGGTGTATACAGATATTAGTGAATGTGTTTTCTTCTTTGAGTTGCTCTTGCCTTGGCGGTAGATGGCTATTGAGTAAAACAGGGTGCAGTATTTGCATTTAGACAAAGGTTTGATTACCTACTTACCCATGAGGTTTCATATTTATACAGCAGCTGCCATGGCAGCTGCATTGTCAACCAGCAAGAGTTCAAGTAGCAGTTCAAAATCCTCCAAAAGTAGTAAAAGTGTAAGTAGCAGTAGTAGCAGCAATGGCAAAGGAATCACTAGCACCCTCAGTTACCGAGGCTCTCCTGCAACAACCACCACAACTTACTCAAGTAGAGCGCAGGAACCATCTAGTAACAGCAGCCGCGCGAGCTTGGAAATCAGTCGTCTGGCGTCCTCCTCACACTCCTCGTCTTCCAACTCCAGCAGACCTCCAAGCTACCCATATAGTACTTCATCACACCGCTACAGGTAAATTGTCTAGAATGTTAAAATAATAATATTTTTCTTCCTTTTTTTTATAGCGCTGTATTGTGTTTTATTGCAGCAAAAACCTTGATTTAATGGACATCAGATTAATGGATTTTGTATTTAATGTACTAAACTTGTCCCAACAGCTCTTTTGTTTCCAGGATTGTCTGATATTGTTATGGTTTGTTGAGTAAATTAGTCTTAGATTTAACAAACAAGATATGTCCCAACAACTCTGTTGTTTCCAGGATTGTCCATTATTATTATAGTTGTTTGAATATATTAATTTTAGATTTAATGGACAAAAGTTTGTTGTTTTTAGAATTCTCTGTTGTTATAATTGTGCAATAACAATGTCATCATTCAGATTTTACAGTCAGTATTACGTGACATTCAGTCTCCCATTAGTCCATTAACGATTTAACTGTATTTTTTTGTAATATTATTCTTAGCATTGTTGTAATGTAGGTTTTGTATTATGCTTTTGAACAGGAATTTAGACATTACAGTAATTGGAGTACTGTATTTGTATTTTATGATAAAGCAACTGAGAAGCTTTTAATTTTCTTTTGTCTCTATGATGTTGCATACCCTTCATATTTTTTTGGTGAATGCAGGCTTTGCACAGTAGTGTTTAGCAATATCGTATATATATAATTTATAGTGATGACAATTTAAATTTTTCCCTCACATGTTATGCAGTTCGCCACTATCAGGCCTTGAAAGCGTCTCTTCGCACCATTCCGACCTGGGGTCTTCACCAAACCTTTCCTATGGCATTGCTACTCTCATAGCTGATAAACACCCATCCCACCACAAGTCTCATTCTTCTTCATCTTCAGTCAACAGTTCCTCAACACAAGCAGAGGTAAGCCTGCTCAACAAATTGATTTTAGGGGTATTGATGTAATTTCCAACTTCAGGCTAATGCTTTTTCATCACTCGATGCAGTGCAGCAACAATGCTACCAGCTACTGTGTATCCTCAGAAGAACTTTTTATTCAAGCATCTTTTTCTCTTTTTACCTTCTTCCTTCTTATCAAATTCCCCATGAAGCAGATAAAAAAAACCTGATCTTATGCAGTAGATCTGTTTACCACCATTTACTTTCTTCATGATAAAACCGTAACATATGATTTTGGAATCATTGGTCAGATACTAATCTCAGTTGGTTATAGGTTCCAGAGATAAATGATTTGGAGTGACATACAGAAAGCCTTTTTTTTTTACAACTGTATACAATGATTGCAGTATTTTCTTAGCACTTTACTGAAATTTAACATGTGAAAAATCAAAGTTTGCATCTGAAATTATTGGAGTGGGGTGTTTAACCCTTTGGGGGTCAACAGGTCCTCTCAGAGACTTGTGTCAGGGTCGGCCAAATTTCAAAAAAAAAAAAAAAAATGTTTTTTCTTATGAAAAGATAGAGAATCTTTTCCTGATCATAATGACACCAAAACTATGAAATTTGATGGAAAACTTATGGAATTATGCTCTCGTGAAGTTAGCGGTCTCGACGATGTTTATGCATTGGCGATTTTGCCCACTTTGAGCCCTATTCTCGGCCAACTCCAGTGTACTAGTCGACAAAAATCGTAACTATTTTGCTAAAACTCCATTTTTTCTATCGAATGAGTACAAGAAACCATCCATTTACCAATTTCAACTATCTAATAAAGTGGTCAGAATTTAGCAATTTTGCCAATTTCACACAAATTTCAAAAGATGCCAATTTCTGAATAGGGTCCAGAATAAACAAGAAAGACATTCCTGGCACTAAAATAACAAGTTCTCTGTTCGTTAGTCACATCCCCAGGCCTCTCTTATATTTCTTTGGCTTTCCACTTTGAATTTTTGTTCTTACAGAAAAAATAAGATTTACTGTTATGCAAACTACTGCATTAGTGTAGAAATGGTATAAATAATATCAGCGCACTTGTGAAAGAATATTAGACTCACCAGTTGATGTGTATTGGACGCTTGGCATGATTTGTTTACTTTTGAACTTTGGTAAAAATCGAACATTTCTGCTACTTTGAGCTCAATTTCAAGGTACTTTTCATTGTAAAACTAGTCAAAATCATCTCAATTTCTGTAATATGTCTTCCATTCTATAAAATGAGACCAAGAAAACTAGAATACAACAATAAATACCATACGAAAATACAGTGCAAAGTCGCTGTTTTAATCCAAAAACACGGTCAAAGTTTTTTTTTTTCTCATTACACACTGTGCTGCAGGATTTTTTTTATACTGTGCACACTGACCACATAGACCCATTCTTACGTATGTAGGCCTACCAGCTTTCTCTCGCTAGATTTGAGGGCGCTAGAATTTAGGCGTACTAGTACGTCAAAAACCCTGGGTCGTAAGACGTACTAGTACGTCCGAAATCCCCAAAGGGTTAAAGGCCACACAAAGAAGGTTATAATATACATAAAATGATAATCATTGTCATGTACTTTGCTTCCACAGAAACTATACATAAAATATAGTTTAATTTCTCCTGACTTAACAAATCAGAGAAAGATTGTAACAAAAAAAATTGAGTTGTTAAAATCCCTCAAGAGAAGTACCTTAATGCTGATGAGGGTGCTTGATCCAAGGAATTGGACAAGACCTCCCTTGTTTGGATTGAGGCTGATTACCTCCCATTTCCCCAGTCATTTTACGAAATCTACAGGTTTAACACTACCCATGTGAATGATGAATGTCTTAATTTTTTGGGGTCACCCTTCCTTGGTAGGAGGCAACAGTGTTTAAAAAATAATGAAAGGCACTGTAGTCATTTCCCATCATTGTATATGCTAGGTATCACTGGTAAAATTTCTAAATGTTCAAACTGCTTTGTGGATTTTTGTCAGCTTTAATATAGCTATTTTTAAGCCATATCTTGATAAAATTATCTTTAGGCCCTTAATATTGTTAACAGCCATAAGAGGTTTGTAGTAGAGTAGTCATTGCAGTTGGCCCAAAACTGAATCCTGGGTGAGGCTAGATGTATGGGGAAGATCTTTTTATACTTGCCGCCCATGTTGACCTAGTAGTAAGGGAGAAAGGGGCAGTTGCTTAACTAGAGAGATAACTGGAGTTGTTGTCCCCAACACTTGCACTTGTATACCATACTAGATAATGATGTAAGTCTAGTTTTTTTTTATAGCACTTTGGTTGTCTTCCACTGAAGTAGGGTGACCAACGAAGAAGAAAACACTTTCACTCATTCAATCACTGTCCTCCCAGATGCTTGTTGACATTACAGTTCAGATGACCCTCCAAACTGCAACATCTATACCTCTCCTTCAGTATATTTCCCACTTCCAGGACTCGAGTCAAGGTAACCGGTTTCCCTGAATCCCATCACAAGTGCTACATTGCTTACACTCCAACAGCACATAAAATCATAGTCTACATACTTGCCTCTGCTTGTATCTAGTACACTTACCCAATCTTGATGGAAGTCCAAGTGCCTAGCACTCAAAACCTCCTTTACCCCCTCCCTCCAGCCTTTCCTAGGACAACCCCTACCCCTCTTTTCCCACCACCCTACATTTATATGCCTTTCTAGTCATCCTTTTATTTTTATTTACCCTCACAGTAGTACATGTGTTGGCTGCTGAGACACTCTAACCAACTATTTAAACTGATCTATCTCATTTTTTGTTATTCTCCATAAATTGCGTATTTTGGCTGATTCATTCTTGCTTTCTCCATGGAGCAAGCTTCTTTCTTATTTCACACTATCTTAACTACCCTCTTTCTTATTTTTTGTAACCCTTTCCTTTTTTTCTTCTGTGCTATCAACAATCCTGGTAAACTGAACTTTCCTCCTCACTCTCAGTTCCTTAGCTTGAATGCTAAAAAATTTAATTTCTTGATTAGAGGAGAAGACAGTATTTGCTTATGATAGGTTTTATCATAGTTAACTGAAAGTATTAATTTCTTTGCTCTGAGTGATGATAAAGGATTATTACCTGACAGGGTTCCCATGGGTTAGGGAAAAGTCTGACATTAAAATAAGGAAAAAGATTGGTAATTTTTAAATTGGTTTGTGAATTGGATATTTAACTCTTTGACTGTCACAACCCCAAATCCTGAAATGTCTCCTGGTGTTGCAAAATATTTGGAAAAAAAAAAAAAATTGTTTTTTCTTGTGAAAGGATAAAGTATCTTTTCCCGATGATAATGACACCAAAAGTACGAAATTTGATGGAAAACTCACAGAATTATGCTCTCGCAAAGTTAGCGACCTCGGCGACATTTACGCATCGGTGATTTCGCCCACTTTGAACCCTATTTTTGGCCAATTCCATTGTTTCAGTTGGCCAAACTCGTAGCTGAAATATTTCTTTAGAACTCCATTTGTTCTATCGATTGAGTACAAGAAATCACCCATTTACCAATTTCAACTACCCAATAAAGTGGTCAGAAATTGGCAATTTGGCCAATTTCATGCTAATTAAAAAATATATCAGTTTCAAAATAATAGAAGATTTACTGTTATGCAGACTACTGCAATATTGTAATAATTGTATAAATAACGTCAACCCATTCGTGACTGCATATTAGAATGCTAGTTGGACATTTATTGGACAATGACGGCCTTTTGTTTACTCTTGAACATCGGCAAAAATCAAACATTTCTGCCACTTTGAGCTCCATTTCAAGTTCCTTTGCATAGTAAAACCAATCAAAATCACTTCTATTTCTATAATATGTTTTCCATTCTATCAAATGAGACCAAGAAAACAAGAATACAACTATAAATACTTTAGGAAAATACACCTCGAAGTCGGCGTTTTAATCCAAAAACACGGTCGGAGTTTTCTTTTTTTTCTCATTATGCATTGCGTGCTGCAGGATTTTTTTTTATACTGCGCACACTGACCACACAGATCCATTCTTTCACATGTGGATCTACCAGCTTTCTCCTGCTTGATTTGAAGCCACTAGAATTTTTGAGTATATATACGTCGAACACATTGGCTCGTAAAATGTATATATATGACCAAAACAGTCAAAGGGTTAATAAAAGAGTCAGAGAAAGGTAATTCTAAAATGCCAAAATCTGTACATACTTTGAAATATACCGTTCAGTCCTAGTTTTTAACAAGATTTTAATAAGTAATTTGTCTAAATCCAATTGAAATACATTACCCAAATTTCAAGTTTTTGAGTAATATTCAGCAATAGCATATTACGTAAAGCAACTATTAATTTAAAGAGTTGGTTTGAGGTTTGATTTAGCAATAAATAAGGTATGGTATAAGTATTAAGAATGTGATTTTAATCAAGTTTTTGCTTATACCAATACCAATGCTCATTTTAAGCCAGTACCAGTATACTATTAAAATTAGCCTATAACCACCAATACTGGTGCTTTGGCACACATCTAGTGTATATATGCAAAGTTTAAGTACACTATTTTCATTGTCTGTTGAGATACTGCAATTGACTTTTTCAGGTAAAAATTTTTTTTTTAATCATTGAATTTAACCCCTTCAGGGTCCAAGGCCCAAATCTGAAGTGGTGCCCCAGTGTCCAAGAATTTAAAAAAAATTTTTTTTTTATTTTTTCTTATGAAATGGTAGAGAATCTTTTTGTGAAGGTAATAAAACAAAAAGTACGAAATTTGATGGAAAATTGACGAAATTATGCTCTCGTGAATTTTGATGTGTCAGCGATATTTACGAATCGGCGATTTTGCCGACTTTGACTCCCATTTTAGGCCAATTACATTATTCCAGTCAACCAAATTCTTAACTATTTCACTAGTATTACTTCTATTCTATCGATTGCGCACAAGAAATCGCCAAGTGAACTGTTTCAACTACAAATTAAAGTGATCAGAAATTGTTAATTTGGCCAATT